AATTGGCGGCCATCATGGAGAAGGCTGCAGGCAGTGGAAACCTTACAAAGAGAACAAGTTGCTCCACTGAATGACGTCAGGTATGAGTTTGGATGTTCACTTTTCTTATCTAACAGGGTTAAAAAAAAAAAAAAAAAGGTTTGTTTATCACAGCTGCCAGAGAGCTCTTCAGACAGCCATCCCTGCGACAGCTCCTCACTGAACCGGCAAGTTACAGCTTTCAGATAATCTCTGTGCATTTTTTTAGCTTCAATACAGCCAAGAGTAAACAGTTTCCCTGCAACTGTTTAAGCACCACACAAGCTGGAGGTTATACAAGGCTATCACCCCCTTCCCCCCGTCCCTGAACCAGCAGAGCAACCCCCAACTCCAGGACTCAAATATGCAGCGGCAGGATTATTCAGCAACATCACACATGCTCAGCTGTGTGCTTTTCAGTAACTCTTTTTCAGTAACCAGACACCGTCAATCGACTCTTGTCTGCAGGTTGGCTCCATGTGCTGCTTGCTACCTACTGCTGAGCCAAAGCAGATCTTGTTCGGGCTACAGATTGTCCAAACTCGCATCGGGTTTGGGGCCAAAAACACATTCTCTCCCACATTCAGATATGAATGTTGTGGCGGACCTTACTGGGATCGATATCGACCCGGCGAGCTTCGGCAAAAGCCAAGAAGGTGAAAAGGCCCAGCAGGTTGAAGGTGGTGATGAGTGCAAACATCGACGCCCACGAGCCTGTCGCCTCGATGAGATACCCCGAAAAGTACACCATTAAGACTCCTGCAAACAAACCCAAACATAAAGTAATTAACCTTAAAAGCATTTGTTAATCAGATTAGATTTAAAAAAATAACAAAAAAGTAGCGAAAAAGCCACAGGATTTCATCCTCCCTTCAGTGTCAACATCAACTGTCATCCTCTGCTTCCTGTTTTATTCATACAGATTTGATTATACAGTCCCTTGATGAAAAATGCATGGCAGATGAGAGCCAGGACACCTGTCAGCGACGTGTCATCCTAAACTTTGACTTCACAAAAGGGAAACCTCTATTTGAATCCACAGTGTTAGCGACAGCTGCTAAAAGATTCCTGATGACCGTGTCTGCATCACCACAAACTCACCTGAGAACGCACCACATGTATTCATGACCCCTGGAAAAAAGAAAGCAAAAGGTGTAATATTTGTTATCCCATTAGATTATTGTTTTTGGTTCTTTAAACTTACCAAACAGAGCTCCAGCACAGGAAGGAGCAAGATCTTGGACATTTAAAGAAACACCACTGTAACAGAAATCGATGTTAGTTTGATTTTGTAATATTCAGGGAAAACAGATTACAAGAGAAGTCGTGCCTGTATCACAGACCTCTGCATTATTTAACATTCCACTTTCGCTGACTGCATGTTTCTTTCTTGGAGTTAGGCTTAACATTACGTTTACTTTGTAATGAATCCAAAATGTTACATTTAATGTGTTTGGCATCAGAGATCAAAATAAGGATAAACCATAACACATAATTTACCGTCAGTTATTTAACCAAAAAATAAAGAATGTAGAAGCAATGCATGGAAAAACTAAATACAAGACTCCGTGCCTTCATGAAATACTACATGAAGTATCCATTCTGTCTTTATCAGTCAGCCTGGAATAAATCTGCTAACAACCATGTTAACGTTTGGATATTTAGCATTAAATTGCTCTGAGAGAATAAACTGCTGAAATGACCAAAGAGGTTTTGCCAGTCAGATCTTTTTACAATAGTTCCTGCTGAGTTTTCTTTCAAATGAAAAGCAAAAAGCCAGATTAACGGCAAGAAAAATCATACAAAAATCTTTTGATCTTAGCAACAACTCCCTGGAACTGCAAAGATATATATAAAGATGAAGTTTGACTTATCAATAAAGAGTTTAAAACAGGGTTATTCAACTAAACTGCTCAGGGGGCAAAAATTACTGAGAGCCAAGAGCTCCGGGGCCAGACATCCAGCGGTTATCGTCAGTCAGTTTGTTTTATTTAAAAATGAACACATTGGTGGACTGAACTGAGTTCATCTGTGGGCCTGACTTGGCCCCCGGGCTGGCAGTTGAATAGCCCTGGTTTAAACAGTTGTATGAGAATAAAACTATTAAAACGTGCGTTTTGTCTTAAGTGTATTCAGAACCAGAGTTATCTGCAGAGAGGAGATATCCCGCCAACTTCTGAGTTCACATTTTGTTTAAACGTGCTGTAGTAGATGGTTAGAGATTGTGTAGGTTGATTATTCCAGTTTAAAGCCCATCTTGTTTTTGTGAAACATAGAGCCCCAAAATGTTCATAGAAAAGTAAAATAATCTCAAAAAGGACTCTCGCTCTGCTGTACACGTTGAAAATAACAGTAAATGTTCATTAGAATGGACGAGGTGTAATAATTTGCATGCAAGAACAGTCCACGTTAAAAAAGATCTTTGCAAAACTTTGGGTAATGTTTGCTTAAACAATAGCATAAACTGTTGAACCTTTTTAAACCGACTGTAAAAATTAAATGTGTTTTAGCAGAAATGCTTGTTTCCAAAACAGGTTGGGCACAATAAGACCGTGGTTTCATCCATTTTCTCAAGTGGCTGAAAAAACAAACATCTCCGAGCACAAAGTGGGTTCAAGCCCAACTTAAGAACAACATGTATAAAAGTTAGAGAAGTGTCAAATTCACTCAAAATGAACTTTGTTCCAGTTGGTTAAGTTCAGTTGAGTGTATTTAAATGGGATCATGTAGGATAGACACTGCGCTAGGTTTAGCCACAGGAAATGTCCACCTAAAGTACCTGAGGCAGAATGTAAATAAAATACAGTCACACAACAAACTCATAAAGCATAAGTTCAAAGTTAAACCAGCCAACACTCAAACATTTAAACACACATAACACACCTGCCTCAAACATTACTCAACCTGACTATGTTTTCTACTAATATATTTAAAATCATGTAATTTTAAATATTACCAAACAAGCTGTAACTAACTGATATCTGTTCTTAAACTTTGACAAAACTCTGGTTATAAATAAATATGTTTGGACTCGTTAAAAACATGGAAATCTGCATATTTTTAAACCATCAAGAACAGAGATCTACACCTCACTCATCTTACACAAAACAAGGCAGACTGACCAACAATGAGTTCTTGTTCTATACTGCCCTTGAACTGCAGACATGGAGGATCCAACTTTTAGATGGTGGATGTGCATTTTTTAACTCATTTAAAAAAAAAAAAAGCTCTTTACCTAAGTGCATGGTTTGATTCTCAAAATGACACATCCTATCTTTAGTAAGTATATTCCCACTTGGATACTGCAATGATTTTTAATCCAGTACTTTAGAAGCTTGGCTATTTAGTAATTTGACTGGTTTTAAAGTTGCCTGACTTGCTTGAGACTAGCAAGTCATGTATTATTAGATCAAACAACATCACTGCATTTAATAAACACCATTAAAGGTTTTCTCATTAAGAAGATTTTTAATGTGTCCAGAAATACAAGAGGTATATAATATTTCAATGTACTACCATCTACATGATGTAATTTTCAGTTCAACAGATTGCTCTAAAATTGCACTATAATGTTTACCTTAAACTATTAATTTCTGGACCATTTACACAAGCATTTGTGAAACTCTACTAGCTATACTTTATTGTGAGACATGGAGAGAAAGTCTTCTCAACAAACTGAAACGTTATCAGTTATAAATTGCAACAGCTACTTGTTGAGCTTTTTCAAAATAAAGCAAGTACATAGAACAGTGTCATCTGCAAACACTAAAATGCTAACATCCTCACACATCTGCAGAATATCCTTCATGTTCAAACTAAACAACAACAGTCCAAAAATCAATCCTTGTGGAACTCCTGCAATCACAGCATCGCACTATTCAGGGTACTATTTGTTTGATATATCAGGCAGTAAAATAATAAAAATGTTAATGTCTAAAAAGCTGTTTTGTGGTGGTACAAATTAAAATAAAGATAACCTTTAAATAGCACCATAAATGTTAAGCAACAAGTTACTCTAAAAGTGTGTACAGGTGCCAGTACCTGTGGCTGAAGGTGGTGAGGCCCATGGTGGCTGATACAAATGCTACAGCCCAGAAAAAGTTGGTGTCCCCGCAAAGAAGGACAGTAAAAACACTGGACACTCCCATAGAGAAAAACTAAATGAAGAAATACACAAAACCCAGGTTAAAATTATACACATTATACTGTGGTAAAGATGGAGTGAATGGGTGTTGGACCAAGAAGACATAAAATATAAGAATAATAGTCATTTCAAATCTTGTACCTGCATCAACTTTCTTACTGAAGCTGTGTCAAAACCTGAGGGGATGGAGAGATAAATAAGCAGCTGCTTTGTCAACAACATGCATTTTAAAATGGCTCAGATATCTTTGACTCATGTTCCATACCTTGACGTATGAGGTGGTCAGATAGGCAACCACTAAAGAGGGACGAGGGTATGGCCACCAACCAAGGAATGACATTAAACACCCAGCCCTGGAGGAACAACACATTAACAACCAACCTCAGGTAAGCTTTCTAAAGATTTAAGTCAGTACTGTCAAACTCAGGCGTTACAGAAATCTGAGGCACAGGAACAATATTTTTTTTTAAATGAGACCAATATTACAATAAAACTGCAGTCTGTCTATTTTAGATGCTACAATCTATTTGGTTTTAGTTATTTTTCTTGCAAACTGCAGGTCAAATGTATGACTTCAAGGAGCATGAGAGGTTTATTGTTACCTTGGCATCAGGGAAAGAGTCTTTAAAGAACATTGGCAGCCATGACAACAGAGTGAAGAAAGTACTTGCTGTGCAGAGGTGCGTCACTATCACAGCACTGAGGAGAGAGTCGAGAAAAACACAACCAGTTACACCTGAAAACATCAAGCTCTTTGTATCAAAGCCTGCTCAGTTTTGATGACAATATCTGATTTGGTTAAAATGATGTTAAAGTGGTTTGACAGAAGTCTGTGGTCCAGTGTAGCATTCATTCTTTCCCGCTCTACATCAAATGCCTAACTTTGAAATACAGGCTGTAATTATCCAACAGTGTCTAACATGACTGTCAGGTTCAATGGATGGATTCTTGTAAAAGATGAAACATTTCAGATAAGAAGAACCCTTCCAGAGGACCTGGCTCAACGAGAAGGAGTTCTCTGCAGACCAAAAGTGGGCGTTTCTGGAGAATAGGAGTTTCTAAAGGACAAACACTGATTGGCTAGATGTATTTGCTGGTTCTTTAGGTAAGTTACGTCAGCTCTTTGTTAAAACTGAAGGTTTCTAAGAAACAGCATTATATCTACTGTCAAACACAAGAAGATTATCTTTTGTTCTTGGGTTGTAGGCTGCACCTGACACAAATTGGCTTGAGTGTGGTCTGGGTACAATGAAATATGAAGCATCTGAAGCTAAACCTGCTCCCATTTGTCAAAAAGTCAAATTAAAGATCATGAGTCCTGTAACGAGATAATGGCCCAAAACAAAAGCTAAAAACAAAATTAGCTCTTTAGAAGTTCTTCTATGAGATCTGATCTATGAAAGGAGCTGAAACATGGAGTAGGACTGACCCTTAAAATGTGAGACAGCTGAGGAAGTGAACCAGTAAACAGAAATACCTGCTCCAGTTGCAGAAATATTACAGAAACTGACAAATCACTCATCTGCAGTGACTGCTTTAAAAGGTTGAACAAGAAAATGTGAAGTTAAAGGAAACATCCTTTGTCCCAAAGCCAGTTTAAGTATCATTAATATTTTGGTTACTTTGTCTTTATTTATGAATTGATTGTAGCTATTTTCACATTATTCACCAACCAAAACAGATTGTTTATTAATGTAAAAAAAACAATAATTTAACCCTCCCCACTACCCATTTATGTTGCTCTTATTTTGAAATGTAACCGGAAGTTATGTGTTAAGAGAGGCAGAAAGAGAAGTTATGGAGACGCGGCTAATGTCAAACCGGTTAACACCATAGACATAATATGTCTGTGGTTAACACAATCTGCCAATAACGCCTTGTTTTTTCGTCCAATCCGATGTGGCCCTCCAGTAACGCCTGTTTTTTTATCGTCCAATCAGATGTGGCCCTCCAAATACACCTTCCATATTTGTCTGCAAAGATACCTACTTAGACTCAACCTTGTTAGATTTATCTACCTGGATTACTGAGCATGCATCAGGATATTCAGCAGTGTGTTAACAATTCAAGCCAAAAGCCAAACAAATGACTACTAGTACTAATGAGTACTATTTGAAGATGTATTTATATCCCCCAATATCAAGGATCATTTCCCCCCGTACACCCAGCCATTTGAGAAGCTAGGTGTGTTTCACCATTTAATTTGTTTTAAAAGTTTGCATTGAGAGATTATATCCAAGTTCCTTTTCATTTAGCATCAAGTTCCAATACTGAAGCAAACAGTCATTAGTTTTGGTTTTACTTTAATAGTAATGCTTTCTTAAGATATACAACTTTCTGGAGTTTATCCGAGTTTCTTTTTTACCTAAGGGTTATGGTTCAGATTGGATGAAAAACTGTAATTTGACATTGGTTTCTCCTTCTTCATGTCCTTAATCGTGACCCTCATACCAAGGTACATGCCAAACTGTGATTTTGGCATACCGTTATGCCCCTAATAGCTGTACATACATTTCTGTGCTCTGAGCTGTTCCTGGAGGGACATACTGCAGAAGAACTCAGTACTTGAGATTATAGGGAAGATGAAGTCTGCACATTTGTTAGCATACACACAGGCTTTATTTCTAATCTTACCAGACAGGAGGTTGTTTGAGGAGTCGTAGCCAATGTCTTCTATTAAGTTTTGACGGGGTCCCACCACTGCCCAGGGACTCTAAAGTGATTATAGGCCCTGCAAACACAAAACGGACAAGCATGAGTATCCAGTGGGACACTGTCCCAGGTATACCCATGAGCAGGTGCAAAACATAAGCATGAAATGACAGCAGTGATGCTGTTGATACAGAGGAAACTTCTCCTGCCTTCTCCTTTGAGGAGGTATTTCCACATGCAGTAGGCCCACAGGACTGACATGAGACCAGAGACATAGAAAACACTCTCCCAGCCGTACAGGTCTAACATGAGGGAACCAGCCCCGCCGATCAACAGAGTGCTAAAAGAAAAACAAAAGAAAGAAAGGACAATTCACACAAGTGCAGCTTTTAAACAGCTGGATATAAATGGTTTAGCTTGCTTGGTTCAAAGGGTGACTGGGGTATCTCAACAAACACAGCTTTAATCACTTTTTCAGTACTTCAGAAAAGTAATTTTCTTCCTAAGTATCCCTTACTACAGCACATTTGACTCACCCCAGATAGGAGCCACTACCCACAGTGCTCATGAGGAAGCCTCTTTCACTTTCCACCACCTTTTGTGAGCACAGACTTGCCAGGGAAGGGTAATGAACTCCTAATGCACAGCAAAAAAAAAGAAATGTAAAGCAACATATACAAAAAATATAAAAATACAACAAGCATGCCTCGAATGGAATGAATATCTACAGTTTTAAACAAAGATTCTACTTAATCTGTTAGTACTCAAAGTATGTGTTGTGTACAATGCTCAGCTACGACCACTTCAAATTTGAGCTTAATATCTGTAACAGTTATGAGTTATGGTCATGTTTGTATTTGCCAAGGTTGACTCACTGCGGCGGCCACCTTGAAACTGGTTGACGCAATCTGTCTACCAGTTCATAAGACAATGTGCAAACAGACAAACCTACACACGCATGCACACACAAGCACATTAACGCCTGACTTTCATGGCAGCAAAGGGAAATCATGACAGACTCTATTTCTGAAAAGAAAAATAAGGTTTTAAACCATCTTGAGTTTGTGTTGATGAAACAATGCCTGGTTTCATAATTGAAACAGTTCATATGGAAGCTTTGTTTAATACAATACAAAACTTCCCAACAACAGCAACAACAACAGAGAAACTGTTGTGAGTAATGTAGTACTGGTATATCAAGTAAAGTAAAGACGTCTACGCAACCAAGCTCTCTGCTGTTATTAATAGAAGTACACATTCATAGATGTCACATGATCAGCTGATGATTGTAATGGTCGAGGCCCATTTCATTATGAAGTGCACACAGTAATAATAACTGTACATTTACTGATAGAGCTGTAAAGTTAATGCTGTGCACTAGTTTTAAATAGATGTCTTTAAGTCTAAATTTGTAGCTTTTCCAACACTTTTTGATTGCGGCCAAAGACAATAATGTTTTTGCTCACGTCTGTGTGTGTGTGCACGTGTATATGTGTGCGTGTATATGGCTGCTGAACTGTAGGACTGTGATCGTCTTGTTTGAGCCTGCAGTCTGGACCAGAACCCTATGGACAACTATGCTCTTTCTACAGAAGGCCAGCATAGTTTCAGTTCAGGTTTGGACATTCTGATTTGTTTAGTATTTGAAATGTGTCATAGTTTGAGGTTTTTTTTAATCGATTTGTGAATCTGCACCTAAAGCCACTTTTTGTAAACGGTGAGCACTAGCTGCAGGAGGAAGGCTTTTTTTTTTGTCTAAACATCAGTTTTATCCTGTTTTGTTTTGGTCAGGAGTTAGGTTAGGAAACTGTTATTCAGTGAATTGAACAGTTGTCTGTAGCGTTAGCACAATATCTCATGAACCAGTGGATGGACTTTATATAAACTTTCAGAACAAAATCACTACTCGTACATCTAAAAAGTGATACATTTTTGGTCAAGTCAACACCAGTGAAGATAGTTGCCAGAGTCAGCTGACTTTAGAAAATAAGAATGGCAGCGAGTCAGCCAATTTTAAGAAGCGGAGCTAAAATATCTGATCGTGCCAAATTTGTTTTATAAAACTTGACCATTGGAGTCATTTCAGTCTGAATGTTGCCAAAATTTCTCATGAACCACTTTTTAATTAAACTTTCAGAGATGTACATCTACAAATGAGTCACTTTTAATGTTAATCTAATGGCCAGCACGACTAACCGACTGTAGCAAAACACACACAAAAAAAAAAACTGTCAATTTTGCAGCTATTAGAATAGAATTCAACTTTATTGTCATTGCACATGTCACAAGTACAAAGCAATGAAATACAGTTTGCATCCATCCAGAAGTGCTTAGCAAAACTGTAAGTATATATATATATTACAATATACAGTAAGTTGTTTTGAATATCCTAATACTACTATAAGTATAAATATATACAGGTTATGAGTGTACAGACTATGAACAGGTTATAAATATGAAGGGGTATAAACAAACTATATAAAAGAAAAAATATAAAGTATGTGAGTACTTATCAACAGTAGGTAGTAGATTATGTGTACAGTATGTACAGTAGTGGGCTAACAGATGAAAGTGCAGGTAGTGGTGTTTCAGTCCATGTGTTGTTGTTGTGTGTATGAGAATACTATATTATTTACTATATAAAATTGTTAGCCATCCTCAATTACTTCATGTGCCAACAGATCGCACATGAGCTAACAGGTTTGACCAAAATGGCAATAAGTCCATCCTCTCTTATCATAAAATAATCTTAGTCTAAAACTCTGGCATGAAAGGCTGTGTCGATGTGCATACCTTCAAGTGATGCTAGGTTTTTAATAAAAACTGGTTTTATCAGAAAGGTCAGTCATCCCATAATTTGCATCTTTTTGTCTCACTGATGTAATCTGAAGAGATGACTCGAGCACACCTTCAGCTAGCTCCTCACCTTGAAGCAGGCCCATGAGGAAGCGAGCCAACGTCATGGAGACAATGGGCTGGGAGCAGAGGTGGGCCAAGATGGGGGTGAAGGCTGTCATTGATCCCCAGGCAGCTGCAGACAGCAGGAGGACCTTTTCACCTCCCACTCTAAAGAAGCACGGAGAGACAGTGAGGGACAAGCAGGCAGGCAGACACTCTTAACTTGGATAACTCGTACCGCTGCATTTTCGTCTGGTGAATGCGAAGGCATGACGTAATTTATTAAATAAACGCGCCTTTGACTAGATTTCACGATGCCTACACTGTATTTATGTTCAACGTGTTGCTGCGAGTTTGTAAGACAGCTTGTTGGCTAATCTCTCCTAAAAAATGGGTGATAAACTTCAAGGAACCTTTCCAAAATTAAATTAAATGGAAGAAAAGATCAACTACTTCATAATATTTTAAAGCAGCAAGTATAAATAGATTACAATGTTCAAATGACATCTCCAAGTTGAGCAACTCTTGACACAGGGACAGTTTATTTCTTAATGACACTGTTTGTCCATAGCCGGATGGTAAGACAAAGAAAACATTCAGCTTCATTTGCAGCGTTATCGCTCCAGACTAAGCAAACACTGCTGTGCTTGTTTGCGTCACAGCCACAGAGTGGTTCCATCAGTGACGTTTCCGTGTAAATAACACACTGTGCTACGGACCAGCAGGACGCTCATGCCAGTCTTTTCCGAATCCACTTGAGCGGATGCCACGTGTCTCACCGGTCACTGACGTAGCCTCCGAACACCTGGGTGAAGCAGTATCCCCAGAAGAAGCTGCCCAGCACCATGCCAGACTCCCTCTTGCTCCAGTTGAACTTCTCCGCCATGCTGACGGCACAGATGGGCATCGCCACACGGGCACAGTAGAGGAGGCACGTTCCGAGCAACAGCACCACCGTCCATAGCCTCGCCACGGGCCTGCACAGAGTGGAGAAAGAAGACTTTATTTATTAACTTTTATTTAACCAGGCAATCCCATTGAGATCACAGATTTCTTTTGCAAGAGAGGCCTGAAGGCAGCCTAACATGCATGTTTTTGGTCTGGGGGAGAAACCGGAGTATCTGGAGAAAGCCCACGCAAGCACGAGAAGAACATGCAAACTCCACACAGAAAGACTTCAGGTCCAACTGGGGATTGAACCCAGGACCTTCTTGCTGTGAGGCAACAGTGCTAACCACTGAGCTGTCGTGCTGCCATAAATGAGGTGTGTTTGGGTGGAAAGCCCCCACCCTCCAATGCTGGTAGGCAAGTTTAAACTTAATAGTAAAAGCTCCCAAACCACAGGGCTCCTACAAGTTTTCCATTTCAAAATTCCAGACTATTCTAAACCAACTCTTTTGGTCAGGCTATTCTTTAATGTGCAAGTATAAACTTTTCCTGTACGCCCACAAAGCCCACTTTATTTACGCCTGAACTTAAATGCTTTACGATGCTGATGCATTTTGGCATCTAGACGTTGTGAAGAAAACTTGCTAAAGCTACAACAGAGAACCAGCATTGGAGAGGAAATACATTTAAGGAATCCAACATTGTTCAGTCAGGTCATTGGACAGTTCCTTGTTATTTGTCGAGAGCCGTTTCGCCCTCCATCAGAAGGGCTTCATCAGTCTGAGGAGTCACATACAAACTGTTTTCCTCACTAAGCAGTGACCCGAAAAGGAAGAAGCTTGTAAAGATAAATGGATGGATGGATTTATGAAAATAAACTACAACTAAGTTTAACTTTTATAGATCAGAATAAGGTTTATTTTGCTGTTCATTGTGTCCGAAATGGGAGAACATATGTTCCTCAGACCAGTCTTAAATAAAGATTATTATGCATTTATTATAATGTACCACAAACATAAAATCACTCTGCTTGTTTAAGACATTAACTTCAATTATCCAACTTTGGGTATGTTTACAACTTCTATGGATAAAGTCCAGGGGAGGGAGGAAAAAAGGAGTCAAAAGCTCCCAAATCAGAAGTGTACATTCTATTAATGAAATGTCATTTTGGGGGTTATTCTTCTTAAAAACAGCTTATCTGACTTTGTCTGAGTACACGTGTCCTTTCACTACTAAGATGACCCCCAGCCTCGTTAGTTACAGAATAAAAGTCTGTTTAAAAGTAATATTTCAGATTAAAAGCGTCTCTGAGACACGCAGTGACGTGGACCTCACAGCTGAGAATGTTACCTGGACCAGTAGGTGTGGGCTTCAGGCCACTTCTTGTGACATCCAGGGACCCCGGGCTTGTCGGGCGGGTGGTTCTCCTTGTGACAGACCGAATCTGGACCGCAGTTCTTGGCATGTTTTTGAATTACTGCCATTCAACGTGAGGTGATGGCAGAGTCTGTGTCGACCGTACGACTTCCTCTCTCTCTCTCTCTCTCTGCCTGTTTCTTTCTGGTGGAGGAAAAGTGCGCGTTTCAAGGCAGGAAGGAGAGAAAAGTCCAGGCGCGGGATGTCGATGAACGAACACTCAGTGAACTGGAGGAGGAAGTCTGTTGTTCCTGATGCCCGGAGAGGAATAATCCACGTGTCAGTTTTTCTCTCCTGCCTCCTCCTCCTCCTCTTCCTTTAACCTGCAGTTCTCCTTCTGGTCGGCAGGGAGCGGTCAACCAGGAAGTGACGGCTTCAGCTGGCTCGCGCGGCGTCTCGTGCTGGGCCTGCCCCAACATGACAGAGCAATAACAACACAACAGCAGAGTCAAGATGTAATTAGTACTCAGCCATGCTTTATTTAGTGTATTTCGTTTCCTTCGGACTTGCTATGATTTTTTTTTAAATAGTAAGTGATATTTGTAAAGCGTTCTAAAAAAAAAAGTTTAAATTTTGTCTGATTTTAAAATCATTTTGTGTGATGTGCCTAACAGGGGCACCACCAAAGGGGGCCTGGAGGGGACAATATAGGCTCTTTTAAATGACAGTGCAGCAAAATGGCTGCAAAGACCAAGTTAAAGTTCAAAAATCTTTATTATTCCTAAGGGGCAAATTGTTTCACAGTCAGTAGGCACATAAAACATCCACACTAGCCGCACTTAATCTGAGCTGGATCCTGCCTGAACAGGATCCGGGAACTCTTATTTTGACAGAGTGTGTTCCAGTAACTGCTTGGATCCGGTAACTGTCAGGCTTACTAGTAATAAAGTTATGGACAAATACGACTGCCTTGAACAAATAAAACATTGGATATGTGAACTGAAAATAAATACATAAACACTAATTTTAAACACAACAGTGACTTATGACTTCTTAATATCACAAATGATCTGCCTCTTCATGTAAGCATTTCCACCAATACCCTTAAAAAAATCTCCGTCCCTAAGAGTGGTGAGGTTAAGTGCCGAACGAGCTAACCAGGCAGTCATACATGAGCAGGAGGCCACATGCAGCAGCAATGAACAGACAGAGGAGGTGCCTGGAGGTTTCACATGTGGAGTCAGCCAATGAATTTAACGGAGAAGAGTCAGCCCGGAACCATCAAGTAAAGGGAGGGGGGAAGGACAGAAGCGAGTGTTTACAAATGTAGGTAATGGTAGATGTTTAACAACCTGTTAAAATACACCAAGATGCAGGAAATCGCATCGACTTTATCCAAAATTTTCTAGGGGAGGACCCCACTCCAGCTGGCCTGCTCACTATTTGCGTTCCAGCATCAATCAGTTTACAAATTAAGTTCTGAATACTAAACATTAAAATAACAGTATAGAAATCATCATTCGTTGAGAAGTCTGATCGCTACAGGGATGAATGACTTTTTCAGTCTTTGTCCTACATCTGGGCAGCAGATACCTGCGTCCAGATGGAAGCAACCCAAGCTCACCATGGAGTGGGTGATCAGGATCTGTCAGAATCAGCCTGGCCTTGTTCACTGATCTCACCTTGTGTAGGTCAATGACAATGAGGTTCTGTATGCTGCTATTCCCGCATTCCATTTTTATGCTTCATTGGGCCATTCAAAATCAACAATGCAACTTGCCACCATATGATGTTCACAAATGATCCAAATCTTTTATATGACTTTAAAATGGTAACCAAGTCACAGGCAGTTGAGATGTTCTTTGTTTTCTCCTCAGATGCAGACAAACACGGGCTCCTCTGCTTTTTCACCAGGACGAAGAACATTTTAAGTGGAGGAGTGCAGCATGTACATATGACAAACATGAGCTCAGGAAGTAAGAGGAAGTTGCTACATTCTACCTCACAGAATGTACACCCTGACTAACCGTTCTAAATTAAACGGCTCATTGAAAAGAACAGATCCACAACTTCCGTCTTCCTTCAGACAGACATAAATTCCATCCCGCACAGATGCTGTTGGTAGCTGGTTCATACTGGTGGGGTGCAAAACTAAGAAGTTTCTTCGCCCCACAAAGTAGTTCCTCCTGACAATGTGACTTATTGAGCTTTCTGTGTATTATTTACTGTGTACTTTTTCAACTATTTTGACAATTTTACATTAAATTTAAAGTGATTTTTAGCGATTCATTTTCTAATTTATTTACTGTTACTGTTATGAGTGCTACCCCTCAGCGACCTGCGTTCATCAAGCAGATCGGAACATGTCCAGTGATCTGAACAGCCCATCCAACAGAATTTGATTTGGGGCGTCAGATTTTCTGCCCTGTGGACACATTCAGCTGGTTTTAGCGCATTAATATGACCACTAACACTTGACCTGATGTGAAATCAAACAAAGGAATAGCTGCAGCAGTACCTTCTGTGTTGTGGATATATTGTTTAAATCCATTTGGAGCACACAGAGAGGACCAGAACAGAAAACTGAGGACAAGACAAAATGTAGGATATTTTCACCAACATGGTAGAGTCTTATTTAACCAGTTCTGTGGTGTGATTGTGACAGGTCAGTTACAGCATTGGTCATGTAATCATGGGTTTGATTCTTGGTTGGGACATTTATTTGAACCAGTGATATTTTCTAAGATTATTTATTCACTTTAATGTTATTTTTTTTTAATAAAAGTGAAAAAACTTTTACAGATCCAAACAACTGTGACACATTTTGCTTAGGAGTTTCTACGTGCAAGCCAAATCAAGGGCCTAAAATGCATTGTTTACAAGCTTCCAAGCATTTCCTCAAAATGTAACTGAATTTTAGCTGAAGTGTCAGTGCGCAGAGGGAATGCAAATAATTTCTGGGCCTCTGCAGCTCTTATTGAAACACCAAACTTGAGAGGACACAGGCCTCATGTTTTCATTAAACTGGGAAGAGCAAATGATTCTTAGTTAACTTCACTACGTATCCTTTTTAAGAGCAGGAAGTTTGTGGTTGAAAGTTTGAGGCAGACCAGTGAAAGACGGTGTCTTTTCTCCACGCCCTGATTGATGAGCGAAGAACAGGTGTAATCATGTGTATAATTTTCAGATTATTTAGTTATGCACCAGCCTTCTCAATCTAACAAAACAATCAGATTATGCTGATTTTAATCAGTCTGCTCTAACTAGTCAGTATTTTTATTCCCATTGTTTTGAAGCTATCTTTTGAAGCTATCTTTTGAAACGTACCTATCATTACATCTAAATAACAATTTCTCAGTTAAAAACACAATCCCACGCGACAGGCTCAGTTTAAAATTGCACTTTTATTGCAAAATAATAAACTAGCAAACAGAGCACATAAAAATCTTTCCTACAAATGTAAATAGACCAATTTAAGTGTTTCCATGTGCATAAGTATAGACACCCATTCACATTCACCTTTTCTCCAGCTACATGTTCACAGTACTGCGTGCTGTAAAATATCTATCACTCCAGTAATCTTACCTTCTTCTATCAGAACTTTTAAGTTCGAAAAGTTGTTTGTTGTTCTCATCTTTAAACGTCTCAAATACGGCATCATGAATATCTTAAACTGACAGTAGCCTAAATTACTCCCCAAATAACCCGTTTTGACTCCTCCCCACACTTGTAAGTACCAGCTTAAATGCCACCAGTTGGTGTGTGTATATTTTTCTGTTTTCTCTTTGAGCAGTGCTCACTGAGCAAATGATTTCCCCTGATCAAAAGCTGTCTCCCCTCAGTGATCGCACAAAGTACCAGCCTAATTTAGGCTTTATTCACATCCTCCTTTACCAACAACTTTCCCTGCCAACAGACAGAAAAACAACTAGTGTAACTGAACCATACTAGCCTTACATAAACAACTACGTAAATCATAATATCAAAAGAAAGAAAAATCTGCATGTTAATTTAGTGAGATAAGCTTTACAATGAAATCAATCCAGTTTCCTCACTCATTCTGAGTTATTAAAGGTATCAAAAAGCAACCCTTACAAAAAAGAAAAGGTTGGACTCTAAATGATTCCGCTTCACTGGTTATAAATAGATAAATGAAACATGTCCATTTTTTTGTAACACAGTGGGAGATTTTTAGTCCTTATTTTGGGTCTTCAATTGTTCCCTTGCTGAGGTCGGTCATTTTGGGATACTTCACTTTTTTTTGGTCGAGTTCGTTTTGAGCCCACAGCAGTAGCTTAAGGAGCTTGGCCAGCTTGGGTGTTGACTCTCTGTTTTCATAGTCGAGCACACACTGATTTACTTCACTCCATACCTGAAAAGAGAAAGTCATATTAATCTTAATGCTTTTATCATCTTAAATCATTCTAAAACAATGAAACATGTTCAACAACATTAAACTATAAGAAACTGTTAAAAAGTTAAATAATCCTTCTTACGACACAATTAATGGTAAAATGCGATATAAAAAAGTAGGTTACAACTCCTTTAGTAATAATCAAACATTTGCTTATGCAAGCAAATACACTTAATATCAGAAATCAGAATTTAACATTAAGATCTTATTTGCAAGAAGGACCAGTTTATAACAGGAGAATTACTGAGGAGGCAAGTGTGAAAGAAACAATAGTGGAAACAAGAAAACAATCTGCCAATCTTTTATTCATTTTATATAAAGAAATATGTAGCATCCCAGGGAATGAGACAAAGTGGAAGAATACACAGTATCTGTTTTAAAGACATAATTTTATGCAAACAGAATCTATTTATACCAGCTTATTTGAAATTTCAATTTCACTGTGAACAGAATCAATGTAAGAAAAGCATGAATGTTCTGAGTGTGAGCTAGTTCTACCTTTTGTCTCTGCATCATATTGAGCAGATCTCCAAAGGGGGATTCTTCTGGATTGTCAAACGCCAACAGGGCCAACGTCCTCTCCATCTCTGTCAGGCATTCTCGGCTTTCCTCCCCCTGCTCTGCTAACTGCGACTGTGCAAATTCCAGCGCAGCTTCCGTCTCTCTCAAACGAATCAGTTCAATAAGATGCTGCTGCTGCAAAATGCAAAAAAAAAAACAGGAGCCACATGTGAAATCAGGGGACAAACAAAAATTTAAAAAGCAAGACTTGCAGTACTAAAAACCATAACAGGCAATGGTGAGTAAGTAGTGTGCTTTTTGTTTAATTGTACCTGCAGGTGAAAGTAAAGGTAGCGGTTCGTATCCAGCAGTTCTGGATGGAGACTGTTGATTAGAGCGATGGCATCCTGGATTTGTCCCTTTAATATCAACTCTCTGATTTTAATTCTTTCGTCTAAAGAGTCCAAGTCAACACTAGGCTCTATTCCAGACTCCATCCTGAACTTCTCCGCTGCCTCCTTGAATCCTTCTGTTAAACAAAGAATGTTGTAAATTCCTCCTCATACCACAAGTGAGAAAAATAAAAATCAAACCTATCCTAGATAGTTTTGAACATATGAAAACAAACGTGGAAAATTTAAAGTTCAAGTATTTTTATTATGAATTTGTTAGTTTACCTGTAACCAGGTAATTCATAATGAGCCTATTCATATCAGCTCTCTGGATGTGAACATTGTTGAGTTTATCCATCCACTCGTCCCTTGTTATGTCCTCCGGCTTCTCCGCATAACTCATTATGATTATGTCCCCTATAAGACAGGACGAGTCAGAGATGACAGAAAAGACATTTCACATACTTACAATACTGAATATGCAAGAAAACACTGTTAAATACTTTTTATATGTTACTTCTTTGGTCTAGCAAATATACGGCACCGGAAGTTCTACGTAAAAAATATTTTGGGCCTTCCATCAAAACGACACCACCAGCCTGGCTGCCATCAAACACGAACATAAACACAGACCACATCCGCCTATAATATCGCACATTATTTGGATAAATACGGCCGGAAAAAAATCATACTATGTTTATCGTTCTCTTGCTCGTAATTGTCTACTAACTCATGTCAAAATAACCGCTACAATAATCACAACATTCGAAAAATGACTCTCTTCTTACCAGCTGTAGCTAGCTTGCTAATGAAGAGCGCCTCTTCTTCTTTCTTCTTCGTTCAGACGCAACAGCGCCTTCCCGAGTCACGCACGCTCCAAACTCCCTGCTACCCCCTACAGTAAGTTAAAGGTATTACACAGCAGAGGTCTGACCTCTGGGATGAAACGTGTGCAGTACACTACTGTATCATGTTATTTACATACATACCGTTCAGGATAGTCTTTTTGTGGCTTTAGATACTGACTTATTTTCCATTTATCCACCCCACCCCCCTTTCTTGTGTAATCCAAATATTTTAATGGATGTACTGCAACTGAGAACTTAATAACCTCAGTCAACTCTCTCTCTCTATACCCCCCCCCCC